TTACATGAACAGGACAGGTGAAATACTATCATGTAAAGCAACCATAAACACATGAAAAGACCTAGGTTTACAATTTATGATTAAAACTCTACTATCTACACAATATACATAGATGTAAAATGTAAAAACTTAAATATCTTGGAAACAGTAGCCAATCAGTTGTTTTAATTGTCATATTTGAATTCAGCACATCAAAATACATAATAAATAGCACATTTTATCTCTGAAGCAGACAACTTCTAAAAAATTGTAGTCCAGTGTAATAAAGGGAGAGATTTTCTTAACAAAAAGGTATAAAATCTCCAATCAGGAGAAGACTGTAGGCTTTGAACAGCCAAGGCACACACCCAGACCAGTTGTGTCTGCAAAACAGGTGCAAGACAAGCTTACTCTCTACTTTTGCAATAACTCCCATGTTGTGTTGATACAATACACTGGCCTACTTCTGTTGCGTCCTAATGGGAGGGCCCAGCAAGGATCCCAACAGGCTGTCACTCTTGGTCTCACAGCTAGAGCTGGTTGAAACGTGGAATTCCCATTTGGAAGGGACAGAGAGTGCCAATGTTTCACGGTTTTTTGTTTTCCAAATTAGAATGAAAACAGATATTGTTTGAAACTTCCTGTGGAATGTGGTATGTTTGAAAAGTGTTGGGGTTTGGACTATTTTTGTTCTGAAATTTAAAAAATTTGTTTTGAATTTCTATGATGTCTTTTTCCTTATTACATATTTACAATAGTTTATTAGCTCCATTAGTAATAGGGTATAATATGATGAAATAGTTAAAATATTCTAGTTTTATTTTAGCACTTATATTGTTTGATTTTTGGGGGGTATCAGATCACTTTGTTATAATACAAACAGGAGACAGCTCTGTGTGTGTGTGTGTGTGGGGGGGGGTATATGTCAATCGGTACCAAGTAGCAAGTGCTTTTAATGATTTTCAAATGAAATAAATAAAAATAATAGTTTAATCTGTCATAATATGACATGTCAGTATTAGTTATAAACAGCCTTTTGTTTCAAAATATTTTACTCAGGGAATTTTCTATGAAATAGACCATATTTTCAGGAATGTTTCAGTTATGACAGACCAGCCATTTTTTTTTATTGAAAAAATACTTTCCATGAAAAATTTCTCAGCAGTTCTACGCTCAGCTAAAAGAAGCTTCTTTAGGTCACAGGACAAGGGCTTGTGCGTAAGGTGGTGAAGATCCTTGGTTTAACCCCAACTAATGATGTGTTGTACTTAACAGCAGGATGGAAAAATTCCAATTAATCTTAGGATGTATCATATTGGTGTGGAATATTAGCCATAAAGGCTTACCATGGTTTAACCGTTAATAAAAAGGATGAGAGCATTTTAGTGAGATCCAAGCTTTTCATTTATGAATGTGGTGCTACACACGCTGAAATTGCAGTTTGGCCTATTTAAGAATGTACAGTACAATTTAAAATAGTTAATTTGTTCATTTAGTTGGCAATGCAATGGCTATGTCCCTGGAGACAATATCTTCTATTATTTATTTTATTAATTTATATAGCATCCTCCAGAGAGGGGCCTCTAGGGACTACTGTCATACAAAGCATAATAGTGTAGCAAAACCTAACATCTGCATGCAAGATGTGCATTCCATGTAAGCCCCCAAAAGTGAGGGGAGGAGTGCTGTCAGCAAGACAGTGGGACCAGTAAGCTACATGGTAGAGGTAAAGGTTCTTACAAGAGAGGAAAAAGGCACGGAAACGAGTAAGTATGCAATTTATCTCTCTGAGATATGACCCCATGACCTTAATGTTTAATGGAGTTATTTTCTCAACCCTGCTCTACAGCTGGGGAACCACAGTACAGAGGATAACATTTTTTTTAAAAGCATTTCAGTGACTTAGGAGCCTAAGTGCCTTTGACAATCAGTAAGACTTAGGTCCCTGAGTGCCTAAGGTACTTTAGAAATACTAGCCTGCGAGACTAGGGGCCAGCTTTTAAAAATAGATTGAGGCACCTAATGATGCAGATAGGTGACTCGGCACTTTTGAAAATTCTACAAGGGCCCAGATTTTTTAAGGGATTTTTTTCTCCCTACCCATTATTAGGGGATGCTTATTGTGTGAGGTTTTATATAATTTCTAAAAACATATCTATATAGTCTCATAATGTAACTGAGTGATTGAAAAGCCTCTTTTCTCCCATCATGTGACTTCCATTAATTTTACTCTGCTTCTGTTACTGGTATTCAACACTGAAGCATCTTGGAAACGTGTGTGTGAGAGAGGGAGAAAGAGAAGTCTCTGCAGGTTTAAGTTCTGGTGTGCATTATTTTGAGGCTCTTATTTGTATAATACATGTACTATTTTCCCCAGTCAAAGGCTTTTGTTATTTCCCAAAGAGTACAGTGTAGGTAGTGTCAGAAAAGGTCCATCCCCCCCGCCCAAGGCTGTATGTTGAAGGGCTCTGAGGTCACAGGAGATATACCACCAATTGGCAGAGGGCACCCTATGTCATAATTCTCATTAGATATAACATGCTTATTTCTCCAAATTAATGTGGTCATATTCTGTATGTAAAAGATGTCATGTAAGGTGTCACATGCAAATTGGTAACACACTCGTCATCCACATTATTGTTCGGTGTGTGTACAGGGCAGTGTACACAGAATTAGAGGCATTTTCTGGAATTATGTTCCTCGGGTATGTCTGGCAGATAGTGTCTAAGCACAGCCTGTCCTAGGCAAAGTTGCTTCACGGGCTGCACTGTGTCTCTATTGTAAATTCATAGAGAAACCTAGAACAATGAAAAGCTCATTTACATGTAAGCTAAACAAAGCCATTAGGCAAATGAATGGGGAAAGATGACCACTCTTGCCTCTTGAAATAGGGTCAATGAACTTTGGGAAAATATATGCAGAGGCAAAAAAGCCATTTTATCATCCTTCACCTGAGGAGACAAAGAAACCAAATGATTTGTCCTCTGTGTTGGATCCTGGCTAAAGGCTGGCCAGTCATGCTGGAAGAAGTTCTGTGGTGAGAAAACAACTTTGAGTGAAAGACTAGTTGTTAAATTTGATATTCGTAGAAGCATATATAGATTACTTTTGTATGTTTGTAGCCACCTGTGATAGGGTGTACAAACACCAGGTTGGTAAAGCGAGGTTTAAGGAATTGCCATGGACACAGGAGGCCAGGCCCCACAATCCTGCTAGGAGTCCTCACAATGGAGGGAAGAGTTCAAAAGACAACAGTTCTGCTCCATCTAGGCAGACGGAGCAGGGGAGCAATTGGGTGGTGTTACTCCTGATCCTTCAGGCTTAGCAGCATATAGGACCCAGATGCTGGGTCCACTTACAAATACACTGGAGTCCTTCCAGAGGGGGGACTGGGTCTGGAGGACTTTTGCACTACTAGTGTAAATGAGAATCAGGCTTCATATGTGTGGCAGTCTCTGACTCCCCCCACTGAGTGGAGGCATGTGGACCGAAGTGAAAGGAAGAAGTCCCATGGTTAGGGCATTAGACTAGAATTTGGGATACCAGGGTTAAAGTTCCTATTCCAACAGTGATGTTTGGTGTGACCTTGGGGAAAGTCACTTAGCCTCTCTGTTCCACAGTTTCCCACTTGGTGATAATGGCTTCCCCCGGCCTCACACTCAGCTACTATGGCAATGGGGTGTGTGCAACTGCCTAAGATATTTGGCAGAGAGAACTCATTTCTAACAAACAGAAATAGTCCTGTGAGCAGGATGGAAGCCCTTTGGCTTGCCCAGAGATGGAAGCAGGGTATGTCTCTACTGCAACCAGAAGTATGACTGAAGCATTTATAGATACACACAGCCTAGCTTCCATCTGTCTGGCTTGCAACACAATAGCAGTGATGCTGTGACAACGTGGGTACAAACCCATGGTCCCAGGTAGGGTTGTACAGCATGGGCTGCTGTGACTTCCCTGTTGTTATTATTCAAGCTAGCTACATCAAAGCCAGCTCACTTGTGTCTGCATGTGCTGCAGTCACACTTCAGATGTAGTGGAGACACAGCAGCAATGGTTTGGGGTACCAGTCCCCCAGGATACCTAAATAAAACAGACCCAAAATGAGACTACAGAACTTGTTTGCTAAATTTAAAAAAACCACCCCAACAATGTGACCAGAACAGAGTGCATTGTTTAAAAAGTAAGCTGTTTAGAATAGCTGATATCCTATAGTGTGGCTAAAATATAGGGACACTTACCTCTTAGAAACTTGGCATTTAACAAATTGCTAACCAAACTTTATGAGGAGGTTTATATGTCTATCTTTGGCATACAAAGGATTAATAATTCATAAATGTTTTATGGTCTTGTATTTCATTGCTATGAACATTGATGATATCCTGTATTACTGTGGAAGGCTGATCTCATAAACTGTAATTACATCATATACTTTCTATGAACAAAGAGGACACCATAAACTCTAATGCCATGCACTGTCACTCTGAAAATGACATAGGGAAAATAAATGTGACTCCCTATTGCAGTAGTACAGTCTCAAAGCAACTTGATCAGAAGAAGGAAAGAATTTGTGCAAGATCAAACAAATTTTTCTTGGCTTTTCATTCTCCTACTTTTCTCCATGCTGCCTTTTTTTTGCCTGGGATAGTCTTTAATTGCCCGGGATAAAGGCGGACTGCAGGAGTGCTGAGTGAAGAGACTGAGCAACTCTCCCTGTGCTTTTAGAAGAGGAGGGGTAGCAGTATTTCTCTCATCTTGTTCTCCCTTTCTTCAATGCTGAGAGCCAATGATATATAAAGCACAGCACAGGTTTTTTTTAGTCCTGAAATGTTATCCTTATCACTTTAATTCTAAGACTGAGTTTACAAAGGTGAGGAAGCCAATAAAGTTTATGGCTGCTCAGTTAGCAGTTTGCTAAAGTATAAAAGCTGGAGGAAGGAAAAACATTTTCTCTGCTGTCAGCTCCTCAAGCCCCCTGCCCTTAAAGCCATATTGACATCTCTCCTGGCATATTCATTTCTCAGAGCGCTAATCATGAAGCTGCTATCAGAGCTGTTCTTTCTTTGGCTGGTAGCCTTGCAAGGTAAGATCTTTGGACACTGAAAAGTCTTGTTAGAAAATGTGGGGAAGCTGATATTTTTTCTAGTGGTTGAAGTGCAAAGATCAAGTGAAAAGCAGAGGCTTTCAAAGCAGGAAGATGAATGGTACAATCTGTGTGTATGACGATGGATCACACATTTAGCAACGATTACTGTAGATCATCTTAGGTAAATTTTCGCAGTATTTGGTAGTGTATGGGTTTGTATCTTTTTGGAGATTGACCTCCCCGGTCTCATTCCATTGGGGCACTGAAGTTTCCAGAAGGGAAGACCAGCACCAAATGGTCAGCCAATACATAAACCTTGTGTCTTTGTGGAGGTAGGCCTTAATGTCTCTGTGTTTTGGTTCATCATCTGCAAAATTGGCAGAATAACAATTCCTCTGTCTTGTCTACTGAAAGTGTAAACTGCTCAGGACAGTGACTGTATCACACTGCATGTGAACACAAGCCCTAAAATGTCTTGATCTTTGTTAAAGCGGTGAGGAGTCCTATGGCACCTTATAGACTAACTGAAGTGTTGGAGCATAAGCTTTCGTGGGCAAAGACCCACTTTGTCAGATGCATGTCATGCATCTAACGAAGTGGGTCTTTGCCCACGAAAGCTTATGCTCCAACACTTCAGTTAGTCTATAAGGTGCCTCAGGACTCCTCGCCGCTTTTGCAGATTCAGACTAACACGGCTACCTCTCTGATACCTGATCTTTGTTAGGAACTCAAGTAGGGACTCAAAAAAAAAAAAAAAAAAATTTTCTCCCAACATGCTAGGAAGTGTGGAAAAAATAATGTGTGGCTGAAACCAAAAGTAAAATACATAAAAACTGTGCAAAAAAATTAATCAAAGTCATATAAAACAATTCATGTTTTTACATGTAATACCCTTATATTTGTCAAAGAACATGTAATGGTCTAGCTATCCATCCAAGTATTCAACATAGAGGAAACTCAAGAATTGCTTCTGGACTCTAACATGCTATTGTGCCAAACACAGGAAGACTCTAAAAACAGGCAGGGGCTTGGGCACTAGCTACTAGCTTGGAAGTTCAGACACCTGACTTCATTCCCTACTGACTCTGTTGTCACTTGTGCAAAACAGTGCACTGCTGTGTGTATCAGTGTCCCCCTTGATAAAGTAGTTTGAGAACTACACATAAAAAGTATTTTCTGACAGCTACGTATATCCATCATGAGACTGACTCTTCACTAGTGCTTCATAAGGAGCAGTGGTTCTGAACACTCTTGAGTGGTTGGGAAGTTGAGATGTGGACCCAGATACAAACTTTGGCTACGTCTACACTGGCCACAATTTCCGGAAAAGCCATGCAAATCAGGTAAGTCAGGATAGGGAAATCCGCGGGAGATTTAAATATCCCCCGCGGATTTAAATAAACATGTCCGCCGCTTTTTTTCCGGCTTGGTGAAAAGCCGGAAAAAAAGCGTCTAGACTGGCGCGATCCTCCGGAATAAAGCCCTTTTCCGGAGGATCTCTTATTCCTACTTGAAAGTAGGAATAAGAGATCCTCCGGAAAAGGGCTTTATTCCGGAGGATCGCGCCAGTCTAGACGCTTTTTTTCCGGCTTTTCACCAAGCCGGAAAAAAAGCGGCGGACATGTTTATTTAAATCCGCGGGGGATATTTAAATCTCCCGCGGATTTCCCTATCCTGACTTACCTGATTTGCATGGCTTTTCCGGAAATTGTGGCCAGTGTAGACGTAGCCTTTGTGTCTGGACCATATCTCATTAGAGCAAACCAAAACCAAAATCCTTGCCACCTGTATGCAGGGAAATTCTGATGATAAACTGTTCTTTATTAACAAAAGAGGTAAATTTAAATGGAAATGAATACAGATGCATTTGGGAGTGGGAAGACTCCAGTTTTCCCTGGTTGCTCAGAAACTGCATCCAACAAAGCAGCAGATGACGTTTCAAGTATTACATCACCAGAGCAAACTTTCAGGCTATGTCTAGACTGCAGGCTTCTTTTGGATGCTATCTTGCATTTCAGTTTTGATTACTATGGATCGAGTGGCCAACAAGCCACCCGTGCTTTGTCCTGGAGGGCTCTTCTTTTGATGAAAAAAAAAAAACCCCCTCTTCCCCGTCCACACACGCTTTTTCCCGAAAGAGCTTTTTCAGAAAAAGGCTTCTTCCTCATAGAAAGAGGTTTACTGCTGTCGGAAAAACCCCTGCATTCTTTCAACTGTCTGGATGTAAGTGTAGTTTTTCCGGGAAAAACTCTGCAGTGTAGACGTACCCTCATTGGCTAACCACACCCTCCTGGCATAACACTATTACTTGCTGACTATGAGAGTGGTAGTCTTATGTAAATTACTCCTTTTTTAGGTGTTATACCATGTACCTGTTCTGAAAAATTAATCTAACTATTCTGAATGTGTGCTGAATAAAGAACCAGAAAGTCTCATAATGCCATACAAATTAAAGGCTGACTCAGACATGAATATGTATTCTGGGTCACAAATCTCATTTATGTACTTATGGGAGAATTATTTATTTATACAGTGCCCTCGGTGCTAATTGCACTTTACAAAACAAATAAAAACATGTCCCTGCCCTGAGAAACTTCTTATTAAATTCAAGTATAACTCAGCAGGGATGGCGATAAATTAACATGTGGTGGTTCTGGGAAGGGCAAAAGATATGGAAGCTAATAAGGTCTGTTATGTACCTAGATCATAAAGTTAAGCAAGGTGATCCTCAGCTGGTGTAAACTGGCTTTCCACCATTGATTTTAATAGTTACACAGATTGCATCCTCAGAAACAATGGTGGCCCAATATCTTTAAAAACCGAGGACATAACGTTTGGTGTGGAGTGATGGGCACTGGAACGGAGATCAGCTTTGGAAATTGTGAGAGAGAAGAGGTGAAACACTCTCCCTTTCAGAAACAGACACATTTATTTGTATTACTATTTACTGAGGGTCAGCAAAGAGTGAGAGAAATGCATTCATTCCTAATAGATTGTTTGATTTTTTTTCTCGGTCCTCCTCCCTCCCTGCCTTCAAGGCATTGCAACTCATCCCTTGATGAAAAGTAATTACCTGACGGAACAAAAGAAGTTGGAGGTAAGTCCCTGGCATGAGGAAAGCTTTAGATTTTCTGTTCTGAATACTATACCTACAATCAACTGATATAACTGCTGCATTGCTCTGATGTAACCCCTCAGTGTGTGTAAGAGAAAGAGAAAGAGCAAGCAAGCAAACAAGCAAGCAAACCATCGACAGAGCCATGTAGATGAGCTTTGTAGCCATAGCAAAATGAAGCGGCGATTTAAATAATCGCTGCTTCATTTACATCAAAATGGGTGCCGCACTGTGCTGATCAGCTGTTTGTCGGCCAGCACGGTAGTCTGGACACTCCGCGGTTGACATCAAAAGCCTTTGTCGAGTGCCCTGTTATGCCTCGTGGGATGAGGTTTACCGGGGTGGTCGACAAAGGCTTTTGATGTCGACCGCGGAGCGTCCAGACTACCGCGCTGTGCTGACAAACAGCTGATCAGCACAGCCATTTGATGTAAATGAAGCGGCGATTATTTAAATCACCACTTCATTTTGCTATGTCTACAAAGCTCATCTACATGGCTCCATTGATGGAGCCATGTAGTGTAGACATACTCTGAATTATTAGCAACTGTGCAAGGTGGAAGGATCCTATAGCTCACGCTGCAGCTGGAACCTGAGCCCCAATCTGCAGGCACAGCCCAGCCATGAGTGTCTAATTACAGTGTAGACATTCCCAGAAAGACATTGCACAGAATGGGCCATGAAGTCTGTAATACAGGTTGAACCTCTGTAGTCCAACACTCTCTGGTCTGGCAACATCTATGAGCTGGCATGATTTTAGTTAGCTGGATGTCCACTTATCATTGGTGTGGCCACGTTTCCCACAGACCCATAAAGTTAGTTTGCAGCCACCAGTCCTGGTTCTCAGTATTCTGTGCTGTTATTTAGCTCTAATTCACTCCTAAACGTCTTGTAAGAACCCAGTAAGCAGTGGAAGTGTTGGTGATGTTGCTACACACTATTCACTTAGGGTATGTCTACACTACCCCGCTAGTTCGAACTAGCGGGGTAATGTATGCATACCGCACTTGCTAATGAAGCCCGGGATTTGAATTTCCCGGGCTTCATTAGCATAAGCGGGGAGCCGCCATTTTTAAATCCCCGCTGCTTCGAACCCCGTGTAGCGCGGCTACACGGGGCTCGAACTAGGTAGTTCGGAATAGGCACCCTAGTCCGAACTACCTAGGTCGAGCCCCGTGTAGCCGCGCTACACGGGGTTCGAAGCAGCGGGGATTTAAAAATGGCGGCTCCCCGCTTATGCTAATGAAGCCCGGGAAATTCAAATCCCGGGCTTCATTAGCAAGTGCGGTATGCATACATTACCCCGCTAGTTCGAACTAGCGGGGTAGTGTAGACATACCCCCCCTGTGGTTCAGTCAATTCTGGTTTGAAACTGGTGAGCTCCCAAGGGGGCTGGACTAGAGAGGTTCCATCTGTAGTTTTATCTGTGTCTCCAAGGTTGAGGCAAATCGGTGGGGCACCATGGGGGGAATTTGGCATTACTACTGGCCATGTTGTAACTCTCTGGTGAATAATCTTTAGGCCTCTTGATCTAACACTTTATTCCCGTTCTAAATTCCCTTTTTAAAAGAAAAGTTCCCCAAACTCTATCTGTTTGCTGTTACAGCCTCTGAGAAGATTCCAGTTTCCATGTGAGCTGGAGAAGCTGTCTCATTCTCCTCCACCTTCAGGTGTGTGTTTAAAAGTCATCCTCTTGGAGGGTTTGCCAGCTCTAAGTTTGTAGGGAGACATGATCCTGGTCTACACTAAAGAGCTAGGTCTATGTAAACTGCCTTGTGTCGACCTAGCTGTGGGAGAGTCTTTGTTTAAATTTGGCTCCTGACAAGATTCATGCTGGGATATGCTGATTTAGTAACACCACCTCCTTGCATGGGGTAGTGTCACAGTCCATATAATAACATTGCCGGCCGCAGCATCAAGGTAGATACTGTGTTACTTACATCAACTGTTAGTGGCTTTTAGGAGCCATCCCACAATGCCCCAGGCTTACAGTACAGTTGATACAAGTGTTCCTGATGCGCATGTGCACTGCTGCTGCAAGCAGCCACGCACGTGCATACACAAGCGATTTAATAACTGTGATGGCTGTTTGCTGAAGAAATTAGTTTGACAATTTTGTAATGTAGACGTAGCTATGGACTGAGTTTGAGTCTGGAAGCTACCAATTCCTGAGTTCAAATCCAGACTGTAAAAATTGGACAAGTGACTTTACAAACTTGCCTCAGTTTCGCCATCCTTATACTGGGGATAATGATAATCTTTGTCAACAACACACAGGAGTGCTGTGTGACCTCTTCTTTGCAAAATGGTTGGAGAGCAAAGGCTAAAATTCCCCAGGGAGCCTTTGGGAGTCAGGCACCCAAATCTCATTGAAATTCAATGGGGATTAGACTGCTAATTGCCTTTGGCTGCTGTAAAACTCACAGTTGAAAATCCCAGTATGAAGGCCAATAACAATTATAATTTACTCTGCTGTTTTCACATTGGAGAATGTAATTATTTTTTCAAAGCCACTAACCTGGAGTCCTTGATTTATCTCTGCAGTTCATACTTTGAGGCCATCTGATATTAAAGCAATGGCTGCCATAGGAATTCTGCAAAGTGTAAGTATAACAGTGAGGTGTATTGACTACAGCAAATCACCTTTAAGAGCTCAGTTCTGTTTCTGTTGAAATGCATTGAATGGCGCAGAAGGTGGGCCCTAATTAAGTTCTGTACTTGCTGGTGTTGTGATCAAGATGCAAAATGTTTCATGAGAATGAAAGGTTTCTAGTGAGTGGTGACTAGAGGTAGCTGATGCTGCTCACTCACTGCAAGATAGCGCTGATCCCATTGATACCCTTCTGACTTCTCTATACATACTTGCATAGAGAGAAGATGTTTGATTAGAGGACTCTTTAACGTTGCAAATACAGGCATAACAAAATCCAATAGCTGGAAGTTGTGGCTAGAGAAATTCAAACTGGAAATTAAGTACAATTGTTAATAGTCATTAACTATTGGAACAGATTACTAAGGCATGTAGTGCAGTTTTCATCACAGGCATCAAATCTCAATTTAAAGACTGCATATCTCAAAGAGATGCTCTGGTTCAACCACAGAGTTAGGGGCTTTCCCTGGGTGAAATCCTCTGGCCTGTGCACACAGACTAGATCAGTGGTCCCCAACCATTTGAGGTTGCTGGGCGCCAGGGGATGTGGCCATTCACCCGCCGGGCGCCAGAGGGCGGGGACACTTGCGTGCCCGGGGGCAGGGCCCCAGTGCCCC